GGGCGGGTGTAGGGTGTTAAGGGATGTGCGGCAGGGCCAGCAGGGAGGTTCAGACAGTTGCTTGGTCGTGGCTGTCAAGGTACACCGTCCGCAGGACTTCCAAAGGCCCCGACAGGGACCGGAAGCACGGGGTACACAGAAAAAGGCCAGGCAGAAGGCCTGCACAACACCACGACAGCACCGCGCCAGGCGCACCCGAGTAGATGCCGCCCAGCGCCTGCTCAGGGGCCTGGATCTCCACCAGGTACACGGGCTCGCACAGCCGCGGCTTGGCCGTCAGCTCGGCGGCGTACAGCGCGCGGCGGCAGGTGGGGATGATCTGGCCGCCGCCGCGGTGGATGGCGTCCGCGTGCATCACCACGTCATGGACCTTTGTTGCGGGTGGGTGTGTGGGTGGGAGGGGAGGGGGTGCGTTGTTGGTGGCTGGAGCAAGAGTGAACACATGGACCAGCAGCTGTCGACTGCGTGGTGCCTCCTTCGCAAAGGGTGTGCATGGCGCAGCGCTGGCCCCCCGCCAGGAGGAACGGCCAGGATTGCATGCTGTTCCATCCCCCACGCGCCCTCATGAAAAGGCCACCGTTGTGCGACCCGTGTTCCATGCCCCCACCTCGAACACGATGCCGCGCATGTTCTCCTCCGCGATCACGCCCTCCTTGCTGGCCCACTGGAACGCGGCCACGCACGAGTCCTTGATCTCGTTGAGGTACTGGGTGGGGAAGCGCGTGTGTGTGTGTGTGTGTGTGTGTGTGTGTGTGTGTGTGTGTGTGTGTGTGTGTGTGTGTGTGCACGCGTGTGTGCGCCCGCGTAACTGCGTGAAAGGGCTGCACGTGTGTGTCTAGGTTAGGCAAGCTCTGCGTGCAGGGCACGATGTGGCTGAGGTTGCAAGTCAGGTTGCAAGTTGTGCACCGTGAGGGTGCGCGCGCGGGCGATCCGACAGGGTTGCGCGCAGCGGCAGCCCCTGCCCCCCGTCCCCGCCCTGTTGACTGCCCCCCTTGCGTCCGTGCAGGCGGGTGTCGACTGCTGCCCGTGTTCGCCCCTGCGGCCATCCCGGGGTCCCCAAGATGAACCCACCTGCACTCCCTTGGTGACATCGACCAGGATGTTGGGGCCCATGGTGTCGGGGCCGAAGCACCAGATCTTCTTGGTCAGGTCCTTGTCCCAGCCAAACTCCTCCGACATGGTCTTGGAGCGCACCTGGGGCAAAGGAATTGGGGGTGTTGCAAGGCAGCCGGGCTCAGAAGCGGCGGAGGTTGGGGCTGTATGAGGCGTGTGGCCGGCCTGGTTGATGTTGCTGGTGGTGCCCTCAGGTTACCAGGTTGCCTGAGAGCAGAGGCGATTGGCTGGCTTCCACCCAGGTTCTCAAGTAGCGGCGTTTCGCTGCAGGAGGCCCTGCCCGCGGCCGCACCTTGGGGTCGTCCTTCGGGCCAATCTTGCCCTCATCGATGGCCTCAGCCAGGCCGTCCTCCATGGGGCGCGCCTGGGGTGGGGTGGGGCCGTGAGGTGGAGGTGGATGTGAGATGAGGGGTGGTGAATGACGTGGCAGGAATATGCAGGTTTCAATGATTATGACATGGCAAGCATGACGTGCAGCCGTGACGAAGGGAAAGCCAAGTCAGTGGAAGCCCGAAACCACCCCTGGCTCGGCTGCACCTGCGCATCTGACATCCAGAGCCCTGGCACAAGCACACTCACGCACTCACTCTCACTCACACAAACACGCAACGAGAGGGCCTCCCCACCTGCAGGTACAGCCTGTTGTGCTTGTTGGGGGACTTGGACATGACGGTGTGGTCAGACCTGTCGCTGACAGTCTCCCTGAACGACACCACGGGCTCGGACACGCGGATCTCGGCGCCGCCCATGAAGTCGTCCTGCAGGTCCTTCAGGCAGATCTCCAGGTGCAGCTCGCCGGCACCTGTTGGGGGGAGAGGATGGGCGGGCGGGGAAAGGGTTGTGAGAGCTGGGGGGAAAGTTCTGGTCAAGCCGATGGTCGCCCTGAAAACACCCATCCTGCCGTTGCCCCAGCAAACTGACGCATTCGTTCTCCGCATGCACGCACACAGCCTTCTCGTCCCATCACGACACAAACCACACACAACGGCGTCGCTCTCCAAAATGGGCAGCGGCAATCAGAATCTGCAACACTGTTGGGAGGCAGACAGGGCTCAAGATGTTTGCGTGACCTTCCATGCACACTCCGCAACCGCCCCCCTCTCACCCGCGATGATGTGCTCGCCGGTCTCCTCGATGATGCACTGCACCATGGGGTCGGAGCGCGCCAGGCGCTTCAGGCCCTCCACCAGCTTGGGCAGGTCAGACGCCACCTGGCGGTTTTCGGGAGTGTGTGGGGGGGGGGTCGAAAGGTGGGAAGGAGCGGATGCAATCACATGCAAGAGCAGGCGTAGATGGGAATGAGGCTTCTGGTCAATGAGGGTGGGAGCCATCTGGGTGTGCAGCTGCGCCAGCGGGCAAGAAAGCAGACTACACGCAGTGCTGGCAAGGCGAGGCGGGCTTTGGACGGGGGGGATGGGCGGCATGAGATGCCTAAACACCCTCAACACAAACACACACACACGCACAAGCACACGCCCCAAATCCCCACCTTGGGCTCCACGGCCACCCTCACGACGGGCGACACGCTGAACTTCATGGCCTTCATGGGGTGAGCGTCCTCGCAGGACTCGTTGGTGATGGTGGCAGTCTTGGTGATGAACTGGTCCAGACCCACCAGGGCCACGGTGTTGCCGCACGGCACTGGAGGAGATTGGGGGGGCCGACATGAGTGGTGTGTGAATGTGTGTGTGTGTGTGAGAGTCAGGGTGGGGGAGAGGAAGCACCATTTGTGAAGTGTGGGCGTGTGTGTTTGGCATGTGTGCGCATGTGAAGGGAATGGATTTCGATAATCAGTAGACGCTGTAACGCCTGCAGCTCCCCCCTGGTCGGCCTGCTGGGTGGCATCACATCAGGCCGTGTCACCCGTCAGGCCGCCACAAAGCCGACCAGGCGTCCATCCAACCCCACAACCAATCGCCCAAACGTGACGCAGGTGCGCACGTATCGCACACCCCTACCCCTGAGAAAAATTGCATTGCATCAACATAATGCATTGTGCCCCCAGCCACCACAGTGTGCGGCTGCCGGAGGAGGCCCTGTCGCGTTCCCTCACCCGACTCCACGGCCTCCTGCTTGCGGCCCATGCACAGCACAGTGCGCTGCACGCTCTTCACGGTCAGGTCCTTCTTCTCGCCGGGAACGTAGTTGGGGCCCATGATGCGCACCTTGGGGGGTGGGGGAAGGTCGCATCGGAAGGGGGGTGGGCTTCAGAAGAGGCTTGAAGGGGGCGCTTTTGCAACACCCAAAACTCTTAAAGGCGAGGCACCCGCCGCGCGCGAACGAGTGGGCCAGACCAAGCCGGCAGGCCGAGCAGGCGTCGTAGCAGGTGGCAGGCAAGCGCAGGCATCGCCGCCCGCACTCTCTCCTCCTCTCACACGTACAGTCCCTCTCACACACAAGAGCATATACGCACCTTCTTGCCGGTGGACACGGTGCCCGAGAACACACGGCCGAACGCCAGGAAGCGGCCCTTGTCGGCGGTGGGGATCATCTTGGACACGTACATCATGAGGGGCCCGTCAGGGTCGCAGGCGCGGATGCTGTCCGCGTACTGGTCGTCCAGGGGGCCCTCTGGGGTTGTGGTTTGAGGGTTGGGGACGTGGGGGACGGGTTGAGCACAGGCCCTGGCGGCGGGTGTGTTGGCTGGATCCGAGCATGTCTTGGAGGGCTGGAGGCCCCGCCGGCGTGTACTGCGGGCTGCGTGCACTGGGCAGCATCGCCAAGACTGCAGCTTGCGCACAAATGCAAGTGCGAGACTTGTCTGCACTGAATTTGTTCATATGCACCAGTGCCTGCACACGCACACCACCCTCCACCCCCACCCCTGCAGCCACTTGTGCCCCCAAAGCTGCCGCCCACCGTAGAGCACGTCGGCGCGGTACTTCTGGGCAATGGCGGGGGAGGGCAGGTGGTACACGATCATCTCCAGCAGCGCCTCAGACGCGGGCAGCCACGACTGCATGGTGCGCTTCATCAGGGGCTTGCCTGGCGGAGGTGGTGGAAAGAGCCCATACAAGAAGGGGGTGTCACCCTCGTAATCGGGACCAGTGAGGGGGGCGACAACCGGGGGCTTCACACTCAGAGAATGCGGGGAAGACTGTCCCGAGGCGCGGCGAGCGCGACCCCGAAGAACTCGGCGTTCGCCCGCCGATTGAGGGGGGGGGCTCTGCACGCTCCGGGCAACTTGTGACGCCGTGACCCTGGCCCTCCGGCGCGCCCATGCACACACCCTCACGTACCTGCACACAAAGCACACACTCACGCACCCCGTCCACCCCAGTCGTCCTCGGTGCCCCCGCCACGCTGGTCAAATGAGAGACCCATGAGTCACGCACCCACGAGCTCCTTGTCCTCGCTCTTGAGCTTGTCGAGGCAGTTGACCTTCTCCAGCAGCTTGAACAGCTTGTCCTTGTTGTCGTTCATCGCCAGGTCAATAACCTGGAGCACACGGGGGCAGCAGGGCGGGCGGCAGGGGGTTCAGGGGTGTTTGTGTGCAGTTGCAGAGTCGCTGAGAAGCCAGTGCTGCACAGCGCAACGCGCCACTGCCTGGCACCTCTGTGGGAGTTCTGCCGCCACCCCTGCCACGCGCTGCTGCCGTCCGGAACTGAACCGCTCCACCGCAACCGAACGCCAGGTGCCACCGGCCGCCCAGCAAGCGGCTCCCCGCCTGCTGCGGCTGCCGACGTCAAGCGGGCATTCCCACCCCTCGCCTTTGCCCCCGTCGCGCCGCGCACCTGCTTGATGGGGTTGTAGCAGAACTGCACGAACCCGCGCACGCAGGTGGGGGAGTCGGTCTGCTTCTTGGTCCACTTCTTGGTGGCGGGGTCGAAGAAGTTGTCGCCCCACAGCTTCTCCATCATCTTGGCCTCGCTGGTGCCGAACTTGGCGGCGTACATCTGTGGTTTGGGCGGAGAGGGGACAGACAGTGAGCAGGGGCGCCGCAACAATACAACACTTGCCGGGACGACCACGGCGGCGGCGTCCGTGGCAAGTGGGTGGAGATATGCACAGAGGCGCACTGGCCAGAAGTCGACACAGCCGGCAGCGATCTGCAGCCTGCAAACGGCACATGCGTCACACAGCTTGGGGCGGGCAGGCCGGGCATCTGCTGGCGTCCATGGCACGCCGCCGCCGCTGCGTGTGCGCGCGCAGCCCTGGGGCCGCACCTGGGCGAAGGTGGTCAGGGTGAAGGCCCAGCCGTGGAGGCCAGCGCTGAACGACACGGTGCCCTTGTCGGGGTACACCTGGTAATTGTGTGTGAGCGTGTGTGTGTGTGTCAATGTGTGTGTGTGTGTGTGTGTGTGTGTGTGTGTACGTGTGTGTTTGTGTCCGCATCTGTGTGTGTGTGTGGGTGTACGTGTGTGTTTGTGTACGCATCTGTGTGTATGTGTGTGTGTGTGTGTGTGTGTGTGTGTGTGTGTGTTGGGAGACAAGGGGTGACAGGGGCAGGATGAGGCGGCTGCTTGGCAGGCTGCTTGAATGAAAGCGGAGCAGCATGTAGCACGGCGTTCCACAAAAGGCCCCAGCGGCTCAAGGCAGGCAGCCGGGCCTGCGACACCACCGATGCCCTGTCGCTCGCCGGCCAAGGTATCGGTGGCATGTGAGACCCGCACACACTCCGTGGCGTGGCCTATTTGGCGCGCTCTTGTGGCGGGCCCGACCGGCACGCGGGCAGCCCGTAGCCCGCGGCCAATTGAAAGCCCATCTTACAGGCCTGGAGTCTGGCTGTGGTCCAATAAACCACCCGCGACTCGGCCCAGCCCCCACAACACCAGCAGCTGCTGCGACCCCACCCCCGCCACCCTCTTCACTCCTGCTGCGCGAGAGGCACCCCACCCCGCTGCTCCCCACTCGCATTCTCTTGCTCGTCCCAACCCCCTTCGCCACAGCCGCATGCCACCCCACGCCGCTCCCCCGTTCACTCGCCGCGAGCCAGCCCGACACCGCACCCTACGCCCCCCTCCCCCCCACAACACGCACCTGCAGGTCGCCCATCGCGTCGTCCTGGTAGGTGGCCAAGATCACGTTGGCGTTCTCAATCACGCGCAGGTAGGTGGTGTACGCCTCCTCGCCCTCCAGCTGCAGCTCCAGGAAGCAGCGGTCCATCTTGTTCACCGTCAGCACGGGGCGGATGCGCTCGCCGAGCGCCTGGCGCAGCACCGTCTCGGTCTGCACGCACACGCCCTCGACGCAGTCCACCACGACGAGCGCGCCGTCGGTGATGCGCAGCGCGGCGGTAACCTCGGACGAGAAGTCCACGTGGCCAGGGCTGTCGATGAGGTTCACGAGGTACGAGTTGCCGTCCCTCTTGCCCGAGAAGTTCTTCAGGGCCTCCTCAGTCATCTCGTAGTAGAGGGAGATGCCCGTGGACTTGATGGTGATGCCGCGCTCCTGCTCGTCGGCGCGGGTGTCCGTCAGGCGGGCGTCGCCGGCCTGGGGGGAACGCGCGGAGGGTGGGGGTGTGAGGGTGGGGCAGGCAGGGTCGGGATGATGCTGCGCCGCTGGATGTCGCCGCATCAGCAGGGCCGCGTGCAGTGATGTGTATACACGATCCAAGAATTGTGAGATGGCGCCTTGCAGCGCCCTGTGCAAGCAACACAGAACACGAAGCGCTCTGCGCGTCAGTCGTCAGTAACCCATTGCGGCCGCGCTGCCGCACTGCGCACCTGCTCCAGCGCCATGATACCCGCAGCAGCCACCAGGGAGTCCGTAAGCGTCGACTTGCCTGCATACAGCGAGCAGACCGGCGATCAGCGGCCAGGCACAGAGCCACTTCGCACTCGCTGGTTGCTCCCTTCCCACACCTGGCCCCCACACAGGGCGCCTGCCCGCTGCCCGCCCCCGCACCGTGGTCGACGTGAGCGATAACACTCATGTTACGGATGTTGAACTTGTTGTTCATCAGGGCGCGGATGTCCTCGATCTGCGGGGAGAGCAACAGCAGGCGATCAGCGGGCCGTGCTGCAAAGAAACTCCCGCCTCCCCGCGCCTGCTGCAGCTCCAGCCGTGCCAGATAATTACCGTGAACTTCACCTGCAAGGCGCGGAGTGGGAGGGCGCGGGGATCGAGCGGAGTTAGATCTGGTGCCGAGGCGGCGTGTGGCAAACCGCGCGCTGGACGGGCTTGGCTGACGGAGGAGCCCTCGCATACATGCGGGCGCCACGTCCGTGAAGCTCATTGCGCGACGGGCTCACCATCCTGGCGACGCTGGCCTCGGGCCCACAAACTCCCAAAGGGAAAGGTTCGGGTATGCGGCACGCTGACGAACGTGCTCGGCAGAGAAAGAGGGAGATGGAAAGCGCCGCGCGGCGATTGGCCCGGCGCAGTGGCAGGCGCGCAGGTGCGTAGGTGGCGCCGCGCAAGCGGGCAGCTGCTCGCGCTGCGCCGCGACTGTCTGGGCGGATGCCACCACTGGCAGCACCAGCAAGCGACAAAAGAAGCCCTGCGGTCCTCTCGTCGTTGAGGGCTTGGGCTGGTCCCTGCGGCCAGGTGCATGCGCTCACGGGCACGATTTCAAGCGATCGGCGCAACGGCTCATGTCACCTAATCATCTTCTGGCGGCCAATTTACCTGAAGCAATTTGGGCAGACATGATAGCACGATTATTTGGGGAGCAGTGGTGCTTTGAGTGGGTGGCTGTATTCGCAGTGAGCTGCTTCAACAGCTCCTTTGCCCACCGGGTTCCAGGTGCAACAGTGTTCACTGCCTGTACCGGTACTTCCTGCCAACAGTGTGTCGGGCATGCGTCAGCCATTGGCCGCAAGCGGTTGCCTGTCATCTTCTAATGTGCTTGCACCCCCACTGCATAGGCTGCCAAAGGGCGCCTGGATTAGGATTAGGATCAGGATTGTTACAACATCCCCGCCTCGGTCGCCCGCTCCTGGAGCCATCCAGGCTCATATGAGCCATGGGATATGACTTGGTAGCATCAGCATTGTGACAGGGATTCAAGTGACCCTGGCGCGCCGCCCTCCGCTGCGAATCATCAACCAAGCATTTGCAGCCACGCGCCCCTCCACGTGCGATTCGCCCGTGCCGGGCTCAGGGAGCGGGCGATGGAGGGGTTACCCACAACTCCCACTTCACAATCCCCTTTCTGGACTAGTCCAACGAGGGCATTGTCAAGCAAGAGTTGTGGGTGACCTCTACCTCGCCCGCTCCGTGAGTCTGGCACGGGCGCGTCAAGTGAAGACCAATTGAGCTTTTCATCGCTGCGCGTATGCATGCACCCAAGCACACGCCAGCAGCTGCGAGCCGCTCTCCACGCAGAGCGCGGCACACTGCGCCACACCCCCTCAAAGTGCCAGATATGTTTGCTCTGCAGACCTCGCAAGGGCGCCTTGGGGGCGTCATTGTCGTGCACAATGGGCGTCGATTAGTCGTTTTCAGCGGGCGCAGGGCGCTGGCTGTGGCCAGGCAGCTCAATGCAATTCAGGTGGAAGCCCGCAGGCCGGCGCCAGGTGCCGCCATGGTGTCGCTTGCTTCACCACCCCAGGCGCTCGTGGTATCGCGGGCCAAGAGGTTCTGTCCACCACTGCCCTCCCACAGCCGTTTGCTGGGCTGCAGCGCGATCCACGCGCGACGGGGCCTGGACAACTTGCCCATCGGCCCGGCGGTCGCACGCGGCGCGCGCGGCCTGCGCGGCGGCGGCGTGCGTAGCCACTAGGCCTGCCGCTGGCGCACCCGAAGCCCCTGAGGCGGCAGCCGCGTCACCGGCGGCCTCCTCTACGGCCTTGACAGCTGCTGCCACGAGGCCGGGCTCTAGGCCGTCCGGGCCCACCCCATGCGTGACTCGCCCGTCAGTGTAGGGGATGTTGATGGGCTGGGCCCCGGGGCCGAAGCGTGCCAGCCGCGCGTGCACGAGGCCCTGCGACACTGCCGCCGCGGCGGGACGCACGTCGGCGCGGCCCGGCAGCAGGCGTAGCAGCAGGTGCACGAGCACGGGCAGGTCGGCGTTGGAGACTGCGGGTGTGTTGGGAATGAGGGGGGATGCCAAGGTTTTTGTTTGGAGACTGAGGGTGCGTTGGGGAGAAAGGGGGTTGCAAAGGGTTTGGAGACTGCGGGTGTGTTTTCGAGGAGTGTGCGTCCGAACGACCAGGGGCCGTCAAGGCGGTGTCTCGGGGGCCCTGAGAGGTGCCTGGTGGCGGACAGGCAGCTTGTGTGTTGCCGTGAAGCCCGGCTCGCATCCGGCGGGTCTGAACGATGGCGCGTGCATCAGCTGACGCGGTTGTCACCGTGTGAGAACGCATGACGCCAAACGCGGTCCGGCGCTGCCCGGCAGGCCGCATCGCTCCTCCAAACCTCCGCCCCGGCCCTCCAGACACACCCCAAAACCTCAAAAAACACACACACAATGCGTCAAAGATGCTTCACTCGTTTCAAAGCCCCGCCGAACTCTCTATTGGGGCCGCTGTCAACAACCCAGCACCCCACCTGGCTCCTGCAGCCAGTCAGGCACCAGCAGCATGTTGGCCTCCTCCCCCTTCACGCTCTTGTGCCAATCATTGTCCACCAGCACACACCGCGCCAGGTCTAGGCCGTGGCGCGCCAGCGGCTTTACAGTCGACCACTCCTTGCCGCCGGGGCGCTGGCGCCAGTGGAGGTCTGGGGCGCAGTGGTCGCGGTGCATGATCACCTCAAACAGGGGGGCGTCCGGGACTGGGGGCGGGGAGGGGGAAGGTGCGTGCATGATTTGGCAGCGGGTGCATAACAGAGGAAAGTTGCATCGAAGACGCGCAAGCAGCGGCGCTCCTGGTGGTGTGAGCCTATGCACCCACCTACATCCACATACAATCCCGCATCGGAAGAGTTTCAAGCACACCAGGACCGCGATACAGAGTCACGCCCAGCGCTGCACACTAGCATCGGAGGCGCCCGTGGGCCTCAGCTGCCCCAAAGCCAGCAGCCGCGCCCCTGCAACACCTGGTCCCCGCCCAACCCCACCCAGCCGCGCAGCACAGCACATTGCTCACCCTCCACGCCCTGCCGCCTCATGGCCAGCAGATTCGAGCGCACCAGCGCCAGAGCGCGGTCGATGGTGTGCCGCATGGCGCTGGAGTAGATCCCCAGGCGGAAGTGCTCTCGCAGCGCCAGCAGGCACTCAATGTGGGGCCGCACCACGTGGTCGCGGCGGATGCTGCGACCCTCCATGCGCGGGGCCGTGTGGTCTGTGAGCACGCCTTTGGAGGGGTCGGGTTACCGAGGGATGGGACGAGGTGATCAAGGGGTGCCGCTGGGCGTGCGTGAGCGCGCTGACGGGTCAGCTGGCCGGCGCAGCTGCCAGCTGCTGGTGCGTGCTGGTGCCGACCAGCAGTTGCCGTGCGATTGCATGACGGGTGCCCCTGCCCATGAAACGCTGAAGCGCCCACGCACCGTTCAGGTCGAACAGCAGCAGGATGCGGTCATCACGCTTGCCGCCGTGGTGGCGGCGGTGGTTGTGCTGGTGCTCCTGCTGCTGGTGGCGGCGGTCGTGCTGCTGCGCGGGCTGCGCCGGCTCGCGATGATGAGGGGCGGGCGCGTGGTCCACCGCCCGCTCCCCAACAACTCCACCAGCGTATTTGTAGGAGACATAATCCTCCAAATCGTAATCCTCATCCATCTGCTGCGTGCATTCATTCAGGCAGATGCAGGTGTGACACCATGGCTGGCCAGCTGCACGGGCGTGCTGGGACGGTCTCCAGGGGCTCAGACCCGTGCGCACACATACAATCCCCTGGCAAAAGGTGTGCCCCTCCTGCGGCTTTACAGAGGCCCACTGTGATGTTATCGGCCAGGTGGACCCAAGACAATCCTCAGACTCGGCTCCACAGGGCACACCCAAAGCCGCCTTGCCTTTGCCTGCGTGTCGGCCCCCAGCAGGCGCCCTTGACGTGCTCACTCACCATGCGCGAAGTTGAAAGCAAGTTGATTATGGTGTCTCATTCAGAAATTGATTGGCTTTGCCACTCAAAGAACGAGATGCACGGACAAGGCACGGGTCAACCACGGTCGTTTGGCCGTGACATCCACGGCTGGGCAGACCACTTGCATCACGGGGCGTGGTCACGGGTGACAGTGTCACCCGAATAATTCGCGTGGGTCACGGATCAAAACACGAGTGTCACGGCTGGCTCACTACCGCACTGGTAAGTCGAACGAACGTGACACGCCCGTGATTGTCTATTTAAAGTTTTCTTCAGTGTATAGACAGAGTTTTGTCGTAGCATGCATGCATTGACGAGGGTCCGATTACTGTGGGGCGCCCAGAGTGGTCACCACCGCAGACCGACACCCCACACGGCAGATGCAAGCAGCAGCGTGCTCAAAGCGATAGGGGTCAGTGTATACTGACCCCTACAACCCCATGCACCCTTTGAATTCTTGATAAGACACACCGGCAGCGCCAGCCCTGCCCACATCCAGCTGCTCGGTGTCAATGGACCTCTGCACCCTTTGCAGGCAATTCTCCCACGATTGGCGCGTTGACCTGCTGCGCAGGCCGCGTCCCAGGATATGGCGCTCAATGGTGCTGCATCGACAGGAGCCTCCCACATGTGCAGCAGTGCTTGCTGGCGCCAGCAGGCTCTGATTTTGCTTGGCTCTTGGTCGTGTCACACGATTGTGTGCATCGCAGCCCTGGGGAGGGTTCCGTTGTTGATGCGCTCTGGGATCGTCATGCAAAGCTGTGGGCTATCATCCCCTGGCGCGTGCACAGCTATCTCTGGGAGCTGTTCCCTCAGCTCAGGACTCCTGGTTATGTTGAAATTGCATGTTGCCTTGCTAGCAATTGTTGCGGTTGCGGGCCCTGCTTGTTTTTATAACTTCCAATGGCGATTACCCCACGCGCATCCCCACGGTCTGAGCAAGCCAGCTGCGTCCGCGGCAGCAGATGACGGGTCCATCAAGCCTCAATGCATACAGCACCATGCATGGCGTGGAGCCAGGAATAACTTGTGTCCAAAGAACTAATTATTTTTATTGTTTGACAGCATTCATGGTGGTGCAATTCCCACAGAGACGCAGAACATATCCAGGAAGGGAACTGGACTGCAGGCAGGCGGCGAGCGAGCAGGTGCACCAAGCAGCCCAGCCGTTTGTGGTGCGCCACACACAAAGCACGCACAGTGCAGAGCCCAAACTCTGCCTGAAGTCCAGGCGCGAATTGAAATTCGGTCCCTCAGCAATCCATCAGATGCACCAACAAAGGCTTGCGCTGTCATCGTCACCTGCATTCAATCATCCTTCCTCCCTTCACCCCCTCCCTGCTCCACCACGCAGCCATCCGGTATGATTGACGACTCTTCACCCCCGCATCTGCCAGCGCTCGTAGGCGCGCGCAGAACATTCGCGCCTCACGCCGCCTCACACACAGCTTGTCCCCGCCTTGAGCGCGGCCAGCTCAGCCTCCACCGCCCTGCAGCGCTCCTCCAGCTCCACCGCCCTGGCGCGCGCCTCGTCCCTCTCGCACTGCAGCTCACGCACCACCTCGGGGTCGCACGGCGGCGACACGCGGCCGTGCATGCTGCGCTCCGCGTGCTCCTGCAGCAGGCGCGCAGCGGCGCTGCGGGGCGTGACGGGGGATTGTGGTGCATGCAAGAGTATTGCACTTGAGCTTTGGAGGGTGGGTGGGGTGTAGAGGGGTCCAATGTGAGGAAGGCGGCCGATTGCTTGGCTGTGGGAGATGGGAGGAACGCCTATAGGATATCGTCGGCTGGGGCATCGCAGTCCTGTGAGTGGTGCAGTGCGGCAATAAGGTGTGGGCCTGCACGCCCCAGCGGCTGCTGCACGGACGGAACCGGCACGACCCACCTACTGCCACCCCTAGGGCCGCCACACACGCTGCTGGCTGACCTGCGGCTGGTGGCGTGTCCCTCGTCCACATCCTCCCGCGCACACATGCTGCCACAGCAGCAACCGAACACACGCGTGCGCCCCTACACAAACACCACACACACGTGCGCGCTCGCGCAGTGCACGTGCGCACCTGTTTCCGTGCTCGATCGCGAGTGACAGGGCGCTCTTGCCGAAGCGGTCGACGCCGGCCGCGTGGGCGCCCTTCTCCAGCAGCAGCTGCACGACCTCTGGAGGGGTGGAAGGGGTTGAACGAGATGAAGGGGTTGGGCGCGTCCAAAGGCATGTGTGGGTCGGGACAGTTAGGAGTGAATAGGCGATGACCGGCCACGCGGTGGCGCCAGTGAGAACGCACCGATGGCGGGCGCCCGCAGAGCATCCACCCGACTCATTCGCACACTGATTCTGCAGCAAGTGCACCGGCTGCAGCACTCAGCAAACACAGGGCCAGCTTTCGATTAGTGTTTCGAGTCTGCCAAACAACTTGTGATTAGCAAACTCGTGGTTGGGGAACCGAGACACCCAATGTGCCCTTTTGAAATGTATAAAGGCCCCAGCAGCAGCAGCAGCAGCAGCAGCAGCAGCAGCAGCAGCAGCAGCAGCAGCAGCAGCAGCTGCTGCAGTGCCTCACCGGGGTAGCCCCTGATAGCGGCGTATGTCAGGGGGGTGCGCTTCTCGTGGTCCTTTGGGTTGGCCTTGGCGCCCGCGTCCAGCAGCAGCTTGGCCGCAGCAGCGTGGCCTGAGGGGCGCAAGGGGTAGGGCAGAAGGGAAGCCGGGGCTGGGGCGGCGTGAGTCGATTGGTCGAGGGAGACGGCGGGTCGCGGCCGAGGCAAGGCAGCAGCGGCCGCTGTGTGCAGCGACCTGCCAACACTGGCGGGCCTGGTGCAGCCAGCTTTTTTTGCCACCAACTCCGAGCAGGCCTCTTTCTTTACCGGTCCATGTGTCCGCGCAGCTGCACGCGGTGAGGCGTGCATAACTTGTGCCGTGCGCGCGTGGACATCGATACCCTCCAAGGGGATTGGAGGCGGAGGCCCCGCCTTGCCACACCGACACTGCAAGCCCAGAACCCCCCCGCCCGCCCGCCCCCTTCCCAGTGTACCCCTCATCACTTCCTCAGGGATGCGCTGCAAAACAGACCCGCGCCCACCGTTGTTGGCGGCCCAGTGCAGGGCGGTCCAGTAGTCGTCGTCTCGCGCCTCCAGGTCTGCCTCTGACGCCACCAGCACGCGCACGCACTCAATGTGGCCCTGCACGCGTGCGCAGCGGTGCAGGGCGGGCGATGATAGCAGGATAAGGATTAGGATTGTTACAAAATCCCGCGGTCGCCCGCTCCTGGAGCCATCCAGGCTCAAGGGATATGACTTGGTAGCATCAGCATTGTGTGACAGGAATTCAAGCGCATTGCAGGGACAAAGAACCGAACGTTGGCGCCACGCTTGTCAATGACGCTGAACACACATCGTAGGCTGCTTCTGTTTAAAGGCTGCAGGCCGCCTGCGGCCAGCTGCGTGTGTAACGCGGGGTGATGGGAAGGCCCCGGGCGGCGCGGGCGCCCACACCTATGGGGCTCCCCCCGTTTTTAATTACACTCTCGCCTGCAGCGCACTCACACCCGCCCGCCCCACGTCCCAGTCACGCGCCCCCACCCACCTGCTGCGCCGCCTTGACCAGCGCAGTCTTGCCGGCCGTCCAGCCGATCGAGTAGCGCTGGCTCTGGTTGGGCTCCTCCTTCACGTTGATGTCCGCGCCCTGGCGCAGCAGCCGGCTGATTGCGGCCGCGTCGCCATCCTCCGCCGCCTTCAGGAAGGGCCTGGCGAGCTGGTCCGCCTCCCACTCGTTGCTGGCGGCTGCGGACGAGGGCGCGCGTGCGCGTGTGCCACGGGGGATCGACGGTGGGGCGAGTTGGCTTGGGCATTGGGCCTGTTAGGTGGGGAGCTACAGGTGCTGGAAGGCGGCCACCTCGGGACAGAGGGGGAGAAGTCTGGATGCAGCCGGCCGCAACGGTGCGCGCCTGGCTATGCAATGAGCACGCATTTGGCGTGAATGGCGCTGCGTGCCCCTATTGGGAGAAGCTCGACACGATGAAGCGCCGCAGTGCTTGCGCGAGGTGCCTCAGCGGCCACCGGCGGCCGCCAGGCCACACGTCCTGGCTCACCCCGCGTCGCTCCGGGGATATCCATACCGACCATGCCGATGGGCACGCCGAGCAATGAGCACCGACGCGGCCACGTGATCGGTCGACACGCAGCAGCCTTTCGGAACAACAGTCGAAGTATGGATATATTACGGCCACGCAACTCTGCAAGATAGTTCTAAATTAACATGCGGTACTGCAAGTTGGGCTCTGTGACCGTTGCCGTCGTATTTGTTCACCCAAGCTGCGTGTCTCCCAGGGGGTGAAACGAGCCCGGGTAACTGCACAGCGTTGGTAAGCATGACTCGGTGCCAGAAATCTAATCCTGTGCCGTTGGCTGCTGTTGCGCCTGAGCATATGCAGTCCGCGAGCCCAACCGCCAGCTTGGCGGCTCAGAACAGCACGAGCAGCTGCGCTGGCTTCGATGCATCCATGGACGAAATCGGCCACAGCATCGTCCCAAAGTCTGCGCGTGTCAGCCACCTTCAACCTCTGCTGCTTAACGCCTGTGAGGGTCAGATCTTCAGGTCAATTACATGATGCGCGCCGTTGGGCACACACCTGCACTGCGGTGCTGAGCGTGGCCCGTGCAAAAAGCAGCAGCGGGCTTGCGCTCGCGCGCAGGAGGCACGGGTGGCTGCACACTCAAAAACATAACGGGGGTGCCGAGCCGTGCCAGCAGGAGGCGCATGTAGCTGCCCAGGCGGGGCTCATGCCAGGAGAAACACGCCCGACTGCGCGGCGGTCGGAGCCCGGGGGGGGGGGGCTTGCACTTAAAGACGGGCGGCAGCGCCCAAGAGCGGACACATGCATGCTAGCGGGGCAGCGAGGAAAGAAGAGCTCAGCAAATGCTAGACATGTGGCTTAGCCACGCAGCAACCTGCGCAGGGCACCTGCACAGGTGCGAAATAGCAGCACCCGCCAGGGCTACTCAGCAATGGAACCGGAAACTTCAACAGATCCGATGCGAAAAACCGTGCCTGCACTCCTGGGTCGGCACGGCCACATGCACAGCGTAGCCTGCCTGTTGTATAGGCCCGAGTACGGCCAGCTTCTGCCAAGCAAGCAGCAGGCACAGCGCTTGCCAAGGGCCACGCAAAGCGACCCACGGGTTGCAAAACGCAAGGTAGTGTGAGAGACGCAAGGCTCGCCGCATCCATGCGCGGGAGCGCGGGCCCGACAAACAGGCGGCGAACGTCCGCCTCGCAGGGAAGATGAGCGGGCACACCAGCGGTTGAACAGCCGCCCCGGCGAAGCCAGAACTATGACAGGGCGGCACGCATGCGCTTTGCGCGATCCAAGGCGTTAGCAAGGTCTCATTACATGGGCCAAGGGGCGGCAGACGAGGGTACAGTCATCACCCGACCTCCATCGCCTCCACGGCCATCCCAGGCTTGACAAACACCAGGACGTCCGACAGCGCCTCGGACGGCTGCTGCTGTAACGGCCGCATCATATGCTGCTGCACGCTTTGCTGCTGCTGGTGCTGCTGCTGCTGCTGCGGTTGTTGGTGCGGATGCTGCTGTGGCGGCGGCCGCTGCTGCTGCTGATAGACTGCCGGTGGGTGCTGCTGCTGCTGCTGCTGCTGCTGCTGCTGCTGCTGCTGCTGGTGTTGCTGCTGCTGGTGTTGCTGCTGCTGCTGCTCCCCGCCCAGCTTCCGTCCGGGCCCCACCTTATGCGGGTAGCTGCTGCCGCCGTCCAACTCCCCGTCCGCATCGGCGCCAAAGCCGCCGCCGCTGACCCCCAGGCTGCTCGCCGTCTGATAGCTGCTGGCGGCGCCGTTGGCGCCGCCGTGGTTGCTGTTCGTCATCCCGAGCAGCGGCCCGGACGCCTGCGCGCGCCCGGGTGGCCCGCCGCGCGCGCCGGGGCCGTCCAGCGGCGCGTAGGTGCGGGCCACAAAGGCCTCGTGCTTGATCTTGACGGCGCGCCAGCGGCGGGCGGCAGGGACAGCTTTGTGCATTTGTAGGGTGTTCTGTCGCGCAGCAGAGTGACGAGAGCAGGAGGTTGGGGTCGCAGGTGGTTTCGTGCTGGTGAGTGTCTCAATGGGTTGACGTCACAATAGGAACCCCATGCCCAGCCTGGATGCGCAGCCTGGATGCCAGCTGTCAGGCCAGCAGTGGTCTGCAGGCCCATGCCGTTCACCCTGTGAGACTCCACCCGGGGCGTCTCCACCCTCCAGAACCTGCCCTCGCTCCGGGGCCCCCGACAGCGCCCCGCACCTGCATGTGTATGAGGTCGGGGTCCTGCACGTCCAGCCTGTCCAGGTCAGCGTCTGTTGTCTCGACGAACCCGAGGTGCTTCCATGTGCTCTGCACGTGCTCCTCCACAGTGCTGCACAGCAGCAGCTGCGGCACCCCGACCGCGCGCGCCACGTCCTCGATCGCCTCCACCACGCAGCGCCCGAAGCCGCGGCCGCGCTTGTTTTCGTGGGTCGCCACAAAGGGGACCTCCAGGTACCCCGGGCCGCTGCGGATGGTGGCCGCGCTGAGCGGGCGCCCCTTGGCCTGCAGGCCAGGCCACGGGTCCAGCGGCGCGCCGAGCCGCGTGTCGGCGCGCGCCTCGGGGCGGCTGCCGTTGGGGGCGGGCCACATGTTGCGCTCCCGGGGGTACAGCAGCAGCAGGCGGAACCCAGAGAAATCCTTGGGGTCGAGGAGGGGAGTGGGAGAGGAGGGCAGGGAAATGTGCGCGGCAGGTCTTGGAGGCGGGACTCGCTGTGCGCGTGCGGGCGCTGGAGAGGGGGGCCATGGATGCGGCATCATGCCCCGAGTGCGAATGGCAAAGCGACGCTTCGAACAGCCTGGGGCCAAGGCGGTTGCATACATGCCTTCACCACTTGCCCCACGGGCTCATCGGCCGCCTTCCCCGGCGAAACACACCAGTCACATGGGCTGAGCCGCTCAGCCGGCCGCCGACCCTGCTCCCCCCCACCACCACCCCTCCTCACGTATTCTGTCTCGTCTTTGGCCTCCAACGCTGTCACAGTCCAGTCCAGGTACTGCAGACAAGGCGCAAGGTGGGCAGGGGCACGTCATTTCAACGAAGGTCGCAGGCCCGGGATCACCGAGCCGCAAGCTGCCACGAGGCCGGCTAGCAGCCAAGCGTGCGAGCGCGCCCGCCAACGGCCGGTGGCAGGACGGTGTGGAGGGCACCAACCCCTCAACAGGAGACAGCCCCTGTGTGCTGACACATTCTCGTGGTCACATGTGGCGGTTTGAAGCTGCTACAACGCCGTTTTCTCCTCTCCGATCACCTCTATCCTCCCCCCTGTACCCTGCAGCACGACCACACGCACGAACACAGGCAGCAGCCCATCCAGCCAAGTGACGCCGAAGCAACAGTCACCCCGCACACTCACACCGACAACCCCAGACACCCACCTCGTGAATGGTGGCGTTGCGGGGCGTGTTCTCCCCTATCATGCGCGCCAGCCGCCGCGGTCCTATCTGACCAGTCTCAAAGGCCTTGAAAAGGAAGCCAACCTGATGGCATTGTGTGTGTGTGTGTGTGTGTGCGCGCGCGCACAAATGTGTGTTCATACTGCACACGCGTAATTCGCTTGGTCATGTCTGTGAGCGCATGCAGCGAGGCGCATGTGTGAAGCATGACCGCAAAGGGCTTGTGCCCACGGCTCGTGACCGCCCTCTTTTGTGCACAGCATGCGAAGCCGCGTGCCCCTCTCCCCGTCGTTGCCCGCACCTCCTGGCGCGCATCGGCTGCGCCCTTGACGGGGTCATACGCGTAGCTTTTGATGGTGTACAGCACGTTGGGGCGGCCGGGAAGTTCAAACAGCTTCTCGCATGGCAGTTGGTACAGCTGCAAGGGTCGTTTTGGGGGGCGTTGGGGCAGGGCGGTGGGCCGTCCCGGGGTGGGGGGGTTGTCGTCGCTGGTTCAGTGGCGTGAGGGGTTAGATGCAGTGGGGGGCTGCCCGGTGAACAAGCAGGTCCGAGAAACGCATCAAAAGGGGTGATCCAATTCCACAGTTTGGAAGACCGCACGGAGGAGGGATTGGGCTAACAGAGGAGGAGGTCAAAGTTGAAGGATGGCGGGAAGGGGTGGCTGGGGCCTCGCGAGGAACTAAATCCTCAAGAAAGCGCACCAGCTGCCGCGACTTGTGGAGATGCTGCAGGCGGTCCCCTTTTGCAGTCGACATCGTCGCTGCCGGCGACGTTTCGCCCTCCGCGAAGGCAGGCCGTGGTGCAGGGGCCGGCCAGTCACGGCGGCGGGCGACGATGCAGAGCGAGGGTCCCTCACAGCGGGGGCTGCCAGGCCCTGGCGGCCGGAGCAACACGCTGATACAGGCTACACTAGCTTATCAGTGTTGAATGCGGAGAGCGCGGTAGCCGTGCTCCCCAGTGCAAGCAGCTCGAGCGGAGGAAGGGCCGACGCTGAGCTGTCAACGATCAAAGCTGGAGGCTATTATCTTTTGAGACCTTGGAGACGAGGGAACCGCGTCCCGCAGTGTGCTCGGACGGCCCAGCGGGGCGAAAGACGGATCACGGATGAGGGGATCGAACAAGAGAACAAGGCGCATCAAAGACGCGTAAATTTCATATGGTCTGCCTTGGTCACCGCTGCCCAGCCGTGTTGGGGCGCGTCCGCTCCTGTTGGCTCCCAAACAGCACCGCCACGGCAAGGGCCGACATACCCATGATCCTCAAGCATTACATGTGCAGGCGCACGACACAGCCTTGTTTCTGGAAGCCTGTCGCACCATCCACTTGACATACTGGTGGTCGGTTGGAGGCGGGGCAGCGGGCGGGAACCGCCGCTCAACCGACACCCCTCAACCTACAGCCCGCACACAGGTCCTTCACTGAGCCATATTCGCACCCCCAAGTCTGCGTTTTTGGTTGTAAGGATTCAGCATAGCGGGCCACATAGGCTGCCGCAGGACTGTGTGACCGTGAGACGAGGCGGTAGAGGCGCTGAAGGAAGGGCGCCTCCGCGCCAGGTGCGCCGACCCCACACGGTTGCGACAAAGAGGGAACGCTCATATTACTGGGTGGTTGGTGACAAGCGCATTGTGTGCAGGTGAGAAGGAGAGGCGGCAAACAGGTGAAAAAGCAAGCCAACAGCCTGATGTGTGGGGCCCGACAGCAAACAGCAGGGGGATGAAGGTAAGGGAGGCGGATTGATGCCACACAGAGACACACACGCACAGACAACACAACACGACAGGAACAGAAAAAGGGCATGCACGGCAGTATCCGTGCATAGCAACGGTCAAACAGTGGCTGCTCTCCAAACTCCGGTATGTTTTGGGCCTGCCGCTAAGGGGCGCAAGGAGGGGCCTTTGCCTTGCACCCCAGCAATATGCAGGCGCCAGCGATCATAGGGCCTGCAACCTCGGCCGCTTGAGGGCGTGAGAGGAACTGCGGCGATGCTGCCACGCAGCGCGGGCCCGCCGCGGCGCTTGCGATCGAGGGAGCGGATTCGCACCAGGCGGACGCGGTGCCGAGCGTCGCCAGCCAGCGCAAGCGGGGCGTGCGCCGTCCGTACATGTGGACGCACGACCCTCCAGGGTGGCGGTGATTCAACGCCAGGGTTGTTTGACAGCCCGCCGCAGGTGCACAAGCGCAAGCCCCAACGCAAGACGCGGCACGCTTTGATCTGCGCGCCATTGCAGGGCATGGCGCGCTGGGTGCGTGGCACCAGAATGTTTGGAAAGCACTCTTGACCACTGGACATTCAGAAGCGACAAACAAGGTTGGCAGTACAATGCGCACGCGTAATTTCGTCTACTAAAGTATGATGGGATGCTTGGTTGGGACAACCTGCTGTCTGGTGGGCCTCAAACACATGAAGAGGGTACGGGAAGTTGAAGCGGGTCGTGCGCACGCTGGCCCAAACCGGGGCAGCGCAACACCGACGCTGCAGCCATCAAGGCAGGGACACCGCCACCGCGCAGCTCAGCTGGCGCTCCCCTAAAGCAAAGCCCTCGACCTGTTTGAGCACATGCCGAGGGCTGCCGAGCTGGACCTGCCTTGACACAACTCCTTGGCGATGCAGCGCACGCCAGCGGTCGCCACAACCGACGCGGCCGCCGCCGGCAACAGAAAAAATAGCCCGAGGCGAGCCCCGCCTGTGTCGCGCGCCTACGCGCCTGCATCTTCACGCGCCGATGCCGAAGAAGCGCACCTTGTGCAGCGCCGGCAGCTTGGCTATCAACAGCACGAGCACCACCACAAAGTTCAGCCCCAGCGGCTGCTTCCGGAAGTCCGTCCCGTGGGTCGCCAGCACGAACAGCGCGAGCGGCACGGCCGTGAGGAACTTCCTCGTGCTGGTGCCGTACATCTCATTGTCCACCTGCTCCCACAGCGTCAGGCTGCCGTACCGCCCCTGGTCCTCCGGCGCAAAGGACCCCTTGGTCCAGTGCAGCAGCCAGTAGCTGGCGGCGCCGTGCATCAGGTGCACGTAGGTCCAGGCCAGGCCCGAGTCCGAGGTCAAGGCGGTTAGGCAGAGCCAGCTGAGGCAGATCACAGACAGATACCAGACCCACACGCCCGGGGAGTCGAGCCAGTTTGTGGTCTGCAAGGAGAGGGTCGGTAAAGAAACGTGGGGTGACAATCTGAGGGGTCAGGGGGGGGGCGGGGACACGAGGCTTGGGGCAGGGGAGCCCCTTGGGGGCGCACGTGTCAGGCAGGGCCAGACAGGTGTTCCCAGGTACACGTGCATGAGTCCTGCTGGGGCGACTGCACAGTGGCGCCTCACCCACCATACACACGCGCTGCAAATGGGAAAACATGAGCCTGCAGGCGCACCCCCACCTTGTTCACATCAACCTCGCTGGGGACGCGCCGGTGGCGCCCGGTCATGGCTGCTGCTCGCCGCGCGCAGGGGCTGCGGCGCGCCGCACTCAAGGCTCGGGCGAGGCCGCCGACGTGGCGAGGCTGGCGATGCGGAGCAGGTCAGGCGCGTGTCTGCATTGCACGATGCGGTGGGAAGGACAGTGGTGGCTCAGCCAAGACTGAGACGTGCTGTCCCGCACCTACCTTTGACCGCCCTGCTGCCTGCCAATGCAGCTGCTGCAGTGCAGCAACAAGGGCATGACCAGCCGAGGTCCAAAGTTCCCATCAAAGACAACTGCTATTGCTCTGCTGGAGGGGTTCCATCCTGCTCAGCTCCTGCTGAGCCGACGCAATCCAGCGCGCACGTGATGCTGCTTGCCATGCGTGCTGGCTGATGTGTGCATGGGCCCTGGAGGCCACACGCGCCAGCATCGATCCTAGAATATATATGCGGACCACGCCCATTCGGCCCGCACCTTGAGCTGGGCCGCGTGAAACGCTCTGGGACGGTGCCACGGGCGCTGTGGGGTCCGAAACACCCGTCACTCGCTAAGCGTGTTAATCGCTTGAGTTGATCGATCGCCACTGGGCAAGGGCTGCTCGCCAGGCCCGCCGGGCCAGCTGGGCTCCTCCGTCCGATCTGATGCAGAGAATTTGAAGCAGCTCGGCGTAAAGGAGGATCGGGAAACGGCAAAGCTTTTTGTGCATTTGCAACGGTGATGGGTCCCAACAACAGTTGGCTATCTATCCAAGCAGCTTCGTGCCCGGACCCCGACCACTTGGCAAGTGAGCGCTTCAGCTGTGTAGCAATATACAGTGACGTTAACGTATTTTTGCGCGCTCTCCTACTCGATCCAACGCCATTTTACTCTTCAACTAGACAAGCACTGGCCCATCGGCGACCGCTGTAGAGACATTCAGAAACCGTGCACCCCAGGCGTTTGAGTGAAATTAGTTGCTCTGGAGCTTAGTGAGTTGGCCAACAACTTGCTCCTGGTCGGCGCCGCATAGCCAGCACATCAGGGGCAGCGGCCCGCGGGCGGCGCGACCGAGGCACGCCGACCCTGGAGCTGCAGCAGCAGCACCAGCAGCAGCAGGCAGCACCGGACCGGTGTTTCCGTGGCCACCATGGCACGGGCGTCACAAGAGCAGCTGCAGCAGGCGCGCCGGGGGTGGAATGCAAGGGGCGCTGCATGGGGCAGCGGCGCTTCGGTGCCCACCAGGCTTGCCCAGAACCTCGTTGGGCCGTTAGGCTAGACTCCTGAGGGGTATCCTGACAGGGACCTGGCTGCCCGTCTGCCAAAGTGCATTCGGGGGTCCGGTTCCCTGTTTGCCGTACCATGGGGCACGCCCACCTCTGGCCGGCCACGCTGCGGGACCTGCTGCCCTTTGTCCTCAGCTGTGCTCACCCACCTGCGGCCCTGCTGCTGCTCCGCTCCTTTTTTGCTGTTGCAGTGGTTCATGGCAATTGACAAGGACTCCAACGGTAGGCTTGCCAACCCCGGGAGGGGGGGGGGCTCGAGCCGCAAAACCCAGCATCTGAATGCGGAAGGGGTGCAGGGGCGCACCGCCACCATTGTGCCCGATGGGGAGCCCACGTCAGCCACGTGCTGTGGTACGCGACGCCCCCCAGGGACGCCAGGCGTCTGTGCTGAGATGCTTGTGCTGCGGTGCCCCCATCCTTGCGGAAATGCAGGCCGCCTGACTGCTATGGAGCTGCAGGCGGCGCTGCAGCTGGGCGGCCTCAACTTCAGTCTGGCTACCGTGGCTCACATCATCCGGTGGGGCACGCACACGACTGGATCCCACGTTTGAATGGGGGCAGCCTGTCGCGGCAGAGGGCGCGCAGCTGAGGGTTGTGTAGGATTTGGTGCCTTAAGTTGTTTTTGGAGACAGGGGGTAGGTGGCGGGGTGGCCCGGAAAGCTGTCGCGGGCCGCGGAGGCTGCGCTCCTGGGTGGTGCGCCTGCGAGGCGTGGCGGGCCACACGCAGAGCAAGAGCAGGATCAGCCGCTTTCTAACCCTCTCCGAGCTGGCTGGGCGACGGGGCGTTGCGACACCGCAGCACACTTGACGCGCCGACCCGCCCGAACCTTAAAATCATTGGCGGCAGGGCGCGTGGCCGAATGCCCCCCCAACGGTGGCCGCCCCCGTTCCAACCGTCCCTGCCTTGCAGGATACACGACCGCAGCAACAGCGGCTCCATCACATTCGATGAATTTTCAAAGGTGGGCGGCGCTTGCGGCTGCCCCGGGGCGCTGCTGCTTGACCTTGAAGTTGTGTGTGGTCGATCAGCCTAAGCCTTGCCGCGCCTGCCATGCAACTGTATGCAGGACGCCCCTTGTCATCCCTTGCTCGTGCTGCACGATGCGGCGTCCACACCCAATTTGTGCGCACCTGTCTGCACCCTGGGCGTCCCTCTGCCCCCCCAGCTGCACGAGTTCCTGACCAACGTGCAGCACTCATTTGAGTACTTTGACCAGGACCGCAGCAACAGCCTCAGCTATGACGAAATATTCAACGCCCTCACACATGCGGGTGGGTGGCTGTAGGTCTGCACTGTTTGGGGCGCGAGTGCGACAGCATTAATGGGATCTCATGCGCATACAAACTGGTGGTGCGGGCGAAGTCAGGTGGTTCAGTATGGGTGCACGAGCGACCCACAATTCAAGCGACATCCCTCGTCCTGTATCAGGGCCTGCACCGCTTCCGCGCCGCCTGCCCTTTGACGAGCATCCTGCCTGTTTCCTCTTCGCACCTGCCCTACCTGCCCCTCCCAGTCCCTTCCCATCCTCCCCACCCCTCCTTTGCCCCCTCGCTCCGCCCGTCACTCCCCTCAATACACCCCATTCCAACCCCCATCCAACCCTAACAAATCCTCCCTCCCCTCAATGCACCCCACCACCAAACCCCAACCGCACACTTACAACCACCGCCAGGCTACCAGCTGGACCGTCCCGCGCTGCAGGCAGTCTTTCAGCGCTTTGACCCCAGCCGCAGCGGCGCCCTGGGCCTGACCGAGTTCCTCGCCCTCACGCTCTTTCTGCGGAGCGCCACAGCCACCTTCAACGTGCGCAACACAACGATCTTGCGCGTTCGCATTCGCACCCGGGCTCGCTGGCAGTGCTCCTGCTTTGGCTGAGGGGCCGCAATCGGCAGCTGCAGCAGGCGG